TACACTCACACACATGCACTTGCACATGCAAGCACATGCATATTGGCTCAGGCCAGGAGCTCCTTGGGCTGAGCTCGCTCTTACTCTGTGTCTGCAGGTCCCAGAACAAGGTGCCCTGATCCTGGGCAGCACTGGGCCCTGCAACACCATTCTCAGGCTATTTTGGGATTTTTGCTTCTGGGTCCAGGCCTTGCAACCCCCCCCCATCTATTAATACCCCCCTGGGAGGAGTGGGGGGGTCCTGCAGCCCCCTGGCCTAGGCCACTTTCAGCACTAGGTCCCAGTGGGCGGGGGGGCTGCAGGGCTCCTCATGGGCTGGGGGGGGGGGCCTTCTTTCTGTGGTGGAAGCTGGCCCAGCTGTGTTTACTCCGTCAGCAGCTGGGAGCAAGCAAAACCCAGGCCCCGAAGGCCAAACATTCCCAGGCTTCTCCCAGACCCCGCGGGCTGCAGCTGGCTCTGGGGGGAGGAGGGGGCCAGTGGGGCTTACATCCAGGGCCAGCAGCTGCAGCTGGTGGGACTGTGGGGGCAGACCATGGGTCCCCCAACACCCTCCCTCTAGTCTGCGGCTGCCAGGGAGTTGCTGGAGCCTTTGCCAGGACCTGGCCAGGCCCCATGAGAGCCCCCTGAGCTCTGAACACCCTCCCCTCCCCATGTCCAACACGTCCAGTTCCAAGAATGCCAGGAACAGCAGCCCAGGATGGGACAAGCTGCCCAGGCCCAGTCAACGCCTCCCTTCATTGGCCCCCGCAGCCCAGCCCAGAGGACTCCCAGCTGCTCTGTCTGGATCTGGAGATGCAAGGAACATGCAGAGGTGGGCAGCTCAGCCCCCCACCCCACTCCGCCCAGCCTGAAGCACAGCCCCCAGCCCTGCTGGTGCCCCTCAGTCCCGACACAGAGCCCTAGCCCACTCCCCCAGTCCTGTCAGTGCCCCTCATTCCTGACCTGCAGCCCCCCCAGCAGCTCCCCCTGGTCCCAGCAGGGCTGCCCATCACTCAGCATTCACCTGGCAACAGCCCTGAACTCCCTGGCCCAGGCCCAGTGCATGTGCATATGTGCATGGGGGAGGATGTTTGGGGGGAAAAAACCTCCGTTTCCAAGGCAACTGCTGTCTGGACGAGTCAGAACAGGAGGGGAAGTGGAGAATCGGCTGCCACGTCAGCCTCTCGCAGCGCGGGAAGCCTGGGCCTCTGCTTGGTACAGCCTCCCTGCCTGCCCTGCGCCCCCTCCCTACCCCCCAGGCAGCACCCCAGTTCCCCACTGCCACACCCTTATCCATGTGCCCCGGCCGGGACCGAAATCCCCCATCCCTGCCTGGAAGGGCAAAGCAAGTGCCTGAGTAAACCCAGCCATGGTCCCAGGCAAGCTGCATAAGCAAGAACAGCCCTGAGGCAGCTTCAACAGGCAGGGCGCAGTCCCACGGGCCTGTGACCAGGCAGCAGGGGCCGTGGGGGACCCTGTGGGGGGAGGAGAGGCAGGAAAGAGGCAGACACGAGCAGTGGCGGAAACTTTGTTTTAATAGTCGGTGGTGGCCACTCGTACATGGGTAGTGAGGGGGCAGGGTTGTGGCTCCATAGTGTTTCCTCAGGATTGGGAGCGGGGGCAGCCGCAAGGATCCCCCGGTTCCTCCCACTCTGACTGTACCATACTGCAGAGCCAACCCTGCCCTCCCAAGCCTGGGTACCTGGCTGCAGCACTGAGGTCTGCCAGATTCCCCTAGGGCTGGCAGCAGCAGGATTAGGGGCCACTAGGTGCCAGAAGGCACAGCCAACACCCGGTGAACAACAAAATGGGCCCCGAGGACTAAGGGAGGCTGAGGGAAGCCAAGGCATGGGGCCAGGAAGAGACAAGGAGCTGGAGAAGGGACAAGGTACATGCAGCTCCCTCCCACACATCCTATGCACTCGGGGCATGTGCATATGCTATGCACACATCCAGCCAAACACACTGGGGGGCACACACACATCATGGACACACCCTATATGCACCTCACACACTGGGGGCATGTACATGCACCCAACATGCACTGGAACATGCGCACACACCATGCACACACACTCCACATGCAGCACTGGGACATGCACATACGCTATAAGCACATGCAATATGTAGTGCTCCCACAGTGTGCACCCCGCCATGTGCTCCCTGCCTGTACACTTGACCCCATAGCTCCTGGGAGCTTCCTGTGACCTGGCTCGCAGTGTCCAGGCCAGTGCATGCAGCTGGCAGAGACAGGGGGACACAGGGCATGCCAGGCTGTGGCATGTGCCACCTTCTGGGGGCAGCTGACTTAACCCCAGTCTACTCCACGGGCTGGGCCAAATCCGTTCCCACGCTTGCAGCTCATTCCCATTCACCACGTGGCTGCCCCCGCCCAGGCATGTCAGCCCATGATTCACACTAGCAGCTGCTGCCGAATGGGGGACAGGGTCAGGCAGCCTGCCCCCCTTCTCCCCTACCAGGCCCAGGCCCAGCCCCCTCAGGGACCCCTCTGCTGCAGTCAACACAGCCCCCAACAGCCGGGGCTTGGGCCCCGCTCCCTGCACTGCAGGTGCCAGGCGTCGCCAGCAGGGGTACAGCTTCCCCAGACCGGTCTGTCAGCTCCGGAGGGAGGCGCCAGCCTCAGGGCAGGCGTGGGAGACAGACAGACACACTCATACACAGACACTCACACACTCACTCGTGCTGCTCCCCCATGGCTCAGAGGCTGCCAGGAGAGCCGGGGAGGCAGCTGCAGACAGATACATGGACAGTCTATGCCCCACTGCCACCCCTGCAATTCCAGCGGGGTCCTGAGACTAGGGACAGTGGCACCTGCTGCTGTATGGATGGATGGACAGACTGAGGCTGCAGCATGCCCAGCCAAGGCCTGGGAGTGCCGATCAAGCCAAGGCAGACAGTCCTGCCTGGGGAGTGGAGACCATGCTGGGGGGGGGGTGGTCCTCTCCCAACCCAGATGTCTGCTCTGCCCTGGGGGCTCTGTGGTGAATAAGGATGGCCATGCCCCTTGTGCTATGGCCCCAGACTGGCTGGACAGGCAGACAGACAGACAGAGGCTGTGGTGTGCCCAGACTGCAGCTGGAGAGCAGGGGCTCAGCCCTGTCCAGATCCGGATGCCCAGCTACCTCATTGCCCATGGTGGGGGCTCAGACAGAGGTGGCACAGGCTGTTGTCATGATGGGCGCCGTAGGCAAGTCATGCTTGTGGGTGCAGGGCTCAGGGGAGCTGGAGCTACGCAGGGGCTGGCGGCAGTGCTGGGCACGGTGGCCGCGGCCCAGCATCCCCCAGCAGCACAGCAGGCGCAGGATCTCACGGCGCATGTCACGGCTGCGCAGCGTGTAGATAAGTGGGTTCACAGCTGAGTTGAGGGTGGCAAAGGCAAAGAAGTAGCTGGCCTGGGCCAGCACGGGGCAGGCAAAGCGCCCACAGGCAGCATCCAGGAGCAGCACTACAAAGGCAGGCAGCCAGCAGATGATGAAGGCGCCCAGCACGATGGTGACTGTCTTGAGTAGTACCAGGCTCTGGGCACCAGCCCGCTCAGCGTGGCTGGACCGGGCCACACAGTAGATGTGGGCATAGATCGCTACAATGGTGCCCAGAATGACTGTGAAGACACTGACCACGAACACCACATAGTCTTTGGCATACAGCGGCAGCACAATGGAGCAGGCCTGCAGCCGCCCCAAGCAGTTCCAGCCCAGCGCCGGCAGCCCGGCCACGGCCAGTGCCACGACCCAGCAGGCACTGATGAGCAGGACCATGCGGCCACCTCCGCCACGACGGTAGGGCTTCACCTACAACATAACAACATACAAAAACATAAGAGCTGCCAAATCACAGGTCCTCCTTGCCCAGTCTCCTGTATTACACAGCGGTAGAGAGCGGAGGCTGAAAGGGAGAGTGAACTGGGTTTGAGCAGGGCTTTTCCACTTGGTTCTCTCTCCCTTGTAGCCTCCAGCATTTAAGGTCTAGGAAGATCTGATCCAGAGGCCATGCCCCTCACTCTGTGCTCACAGCTACTGATGCCCCTTTGCTCCAAAAAATTGTCCAATCCCTTGCGAGTCTGGCTGAACTCTCCGCTTCCACCGCCTCCAGTGACCACTAGTCCCACCCTTTAATGCTGCACTGAGGGAAAAAGATGCCAGTTTTAAGCTTATGACCTGCTTGTTTCATGCTATGAACTCTCGTTCTTGTCCAGTGAGAGACAGGCAATAATAAATCCCTAGGCACTTTCTCTTCCTCATTCATTTTTTCATAAACCTTCCTATGCTCCCCTCTTATCTAAACTGGGCAGGCCTGGGTTCGGCAGTCTCTCCTCATCGGGAAGTCCCTCCAAACCGCTTCACATCCTTGCTGCCCTCCTCCGTACCTGTGCCAGGGCCACATGCCGCTCGATGGCGATGGCCAACAGGCTGAAGACAGAGGCAGCCAATGCCGCAAAGGCCGAGCCCTCGCGTATGAACCAGGTGACTGGTGTCAGTACCAGGGTGTGCTTCCCGGACAGCAGAGTGTTGGCCAAGAAAGCGACGCCCGCCAGCAGGTCCGAGGCTGCCAAGTTACCCAGGAAGACATACATGGCTGAGTGCAGCTTCTGGTTGCGCCACACAGCCACCAGCACTAGCAGGTTCTCCACCACCACCAGGCTGCACACGATTACGATGAGCACTGACACAGGGTCTGAGAGCGGTGAGCCGCGCCGCTCATCCGCCCCTCGCGTGTAGTTGTAGTGCTCCTGCACTGTCAGTGGGTCCCAGTAGGCTGTGTAGGGGCTGCCCATGCCTGCCCCAGCCCCACGGTGCCCATGCAGACAGCGGGGCAGGGCAGGGCAGGGACCAGACAGGTGGTGACCTGTGGGAAGAGGCAGAGGTGAGAGGCTGCATGCAGAAGGAAGGAAGGGGCTCCCCCTTTCCCCCACCCCATCTCTGGGTCTTTCTCCCTCCATCCCCTTCCCTGCCAGCTCCTGCCCACATACCACCAGGCACTCCCAGCCCTGGGTTCCCACGCTGTTGGTGGGGCCCAGTCACTATTCCATGGCCCTGTCCCAGGCTGCCGGGAGCTGGGAAGGGAAGGATGGGCCAGGCCACCTGGGGCTGCTTGTTTGTCTTTGCTACCACAGCTTCCTTTCCCGCCACAGGTTCCAGCACCCCTAGCCGGGCTCCTCTTTCACTGGCTGAGGACCTGTGAGACTGTGGCTGCAGCCACCAGCACAGGCCAGAGGGACAGGGTGACCTGGGGAGCTCCCACCGTGCTCAAAGCTGAAGCTCAGCCCACACTCATTAGCTGGAAACTGGGGCCAGTAGCAGAATGCAGCAAGGCCATAGGCAGAGGAAGGCTGGGGCTATCAGGGCTTAGAGCCCACAAGCACAGCTGCACTGCTCCAGCACCACTGCCATGTCCTGCCATTGCAGCACCATGCCCTGTGCTCCCACCATGCACCAGCTCTGCAACAGCCCTGCGGAAGAGAGGGGCAGCCCAGCACCACCCCCTCCACTCCCAGCCCCCCACATAATATTTTCTCCCATCCCACCGCTGAGCATGGCCCCATGGGCAGATGCCAGAAGGGAGTCAGCTCACCTGGATCCTGCCCCTCCCTGTTGGGTGCTTTAGTTTCCCAATGAGAGCAAGAGCTGGTCTCTGGCTACAGGACTCCCCAGCACAGCGGGACTCTGAGCTCAGGGATGGGTAAGGGAGCCCAGGCCTGGTGCAAGAGCTGCCAGAGTCAGAGCTGGACCTAGGCTAGACCTCTTATCCCAACAGCTCCTAGGCCAGGCCTGGCTCCCCCACCCGCAGCTCAGGGTCTCACTGCGCTGAAGGGTTAATGGAATCAGAGACCAGCCCCTGCTGTCCTGGGGAAACTGAGGCTGCCAGCAGGGAGGGATAGGACCCAGGTGTCCTGACTCCCCTCGGAGCTCTGCCCATTAAGCCATGGTGCCCTGGTTTCCAGCTGCTGAGTCTGGGCTGGGGTCCAGTTCAGCAAAAGGAGGTGATGCCCCATGCAGCCAGGACCTCAGATCCACCCTCAGCGACTTCGCCCCCTCCTCCAACTGTCTGCCTGACTTATGCAAATTAGTGTGGTGGCTCATTTGCACACATTAATTTGCAGTTCCCCCCCACTCCTACTTGGTCAGCACTAGAAGGACAGTGATGCCTCCCCAGAGGCACCCAGCAGGGGTGAGGAGCAAAAAGATAATTGCGTAAGGAGGCATAATCAGGCCAGAACCCCTAGTGCCTCCCCCACAGGGAACCCTGGGCTAGTGCAGGGCAACTCAACCCATTGCACAGCTGGGCAAACTGAGGACTGTGGCTACTGTGTGACAGGCACAAGGGGCCCTGAGGGAGCAGCAAGCAGCACAGCAGATGGGCAAGGGAGTGGGATCAGAGTGGTGGTGGGGGAGAGTTGTGGAGGGGGTGTAGGTCTAATTTGTGGCAGACCTGCAAAAGGTTTACCCCTGCTGATGTAGTGTGTACCAACAGAAATCACTTTTTTTTGCCTGTGAAGCTGTGCAGTCTTCCTGAAAGACCCAAGTTTAAGCCATAAAAGGCTCTCTTTCACTTGCATAGCTTTTCCTATGGCTATGTCAGCCGGGAGCTGAAGTCTTTTCAAATGCTCTAACAGGCATAGCTGTGCTACCTCTTTTTTTTTAGTATAGACCAGGCCCTTGTTGTGGTGGAGAAGGAAACTGCTCCAGGTGCAAACATAGCTGCCACAAGTGGTGAGCAAGGATAGTAAAGTGGTTCCAGTGGGTGCCTCTGGGCCTTCATATAATGTAGAGCTTTGTATGGGCCAGCTCTCGGAAGTGGTTGATGTACTTGAATATTGTGGTAAAGGGAAGACAAAGGTTATTCATGGTCAAATTTTTCCAATGTAAAAACTGCCTACTGTTTTGAACGTATGCAATAATTGCACTGATTTTGCTTGCATAACAGACCTGTCTCATTCAGAAGCAGATTCTAATTGTCTGTCTTAACTAGAGGTTGATGGACAGAAGGAGGTGAAAATTCTCATGAAGCATCCTGCCACAGTCCATGGTAGAGAAGTAACAAAAATCAAACTAGTTTTCACTACCCAGTTTGATATTTTAAGTGTGTTAAAAAAAATCCTGGGAGAAGACAAAATGATGGCAAGTATTCAGGTTTTTTGCATGTTTGTAATGTTAAACCAACTTCATACA